TACCGACAATTTCTTTTTCTATATATCACACTGTATTTCGTTCTTGATTGTATTGAATGATTTTATCTTCTACTCAGCCGATTGGTTCTGATAACACAAATTTCATTGTCATACTTAAGTATGACATGGTATCATCAGAACTTATTGTTTGGTTCAGATTCAGTTCCGTACTAAGTCATTATCTTACATACAAACTAACTGGTTGAGGTCCATAGAATTGTCTCAACCACTGGTCGTCGATTTCGAGTGGAATGACTCAAAATCATTCACAGTGGAGCAGGTGTATTCACTTTTTATTTTCATCTCGATATTTAATTCCAGTACCCCTTCATATATACCTTTCCACTAAATTTTTTTTAACTCTATTCTTAATGTTTAGTTATTCTCATTGTTATTCTGATCTCTTTTACTAAACATCATGTGAACTTCATCTCGTAATCATTATCTGAATAATGTTCATTCTTTTTAATGCGTATTGCCATCCATTATGAAGTCGCTGATTGTACTTACTTACCTACTTACGGCTATTACTCACAATGGAACATAGGCCGAAAACCAGCATTCTCCAACCAAATCTGTTCAGGACCTTCCTTTCTACTTCTATCCAATTGTTGTTCATTCTTCTCATATCTGTCTCAATTTCTCGATGTAATGTGTTCTTTGGTCTTCCTCTTCTCCTTTGGCCTTCAGGATTACATGTGAGGGCTTGTCTTGTGATGCAGTTGGGTGCTTTCTTCAAGGTGTGTCCTATCCACTTCCAGCTTTTCTTCCTGATTTCTTCCCCCACTAGAATCTGCTTGGTTTATATACATAAGCGTAACAGGTTTTATTTGACAGTATGATATATATCATAGAGTTTTAACAGTCAGTAAGATTATTTTCTTTAAGTCACATTCATATTTGTCATTGTAGCGGTAAATAGATCTCCAAAATCAATATCTCTGTAAGCCTTCGACATTAGATGCTGACCATATTAGTTTTAATGGACTAACTTAGATGAAGGCGCTCGATCATGAATCATTACCAGATAATGAGTGAGAACGACGTGCTCAACATCCCTTGCAATCTCTAGTCAGTCTAGATTAGTCGATCCATGGTATATTGATAACCTATCAAATATATATTCGAGCTTCCTCGTTTCTGTCTTTTGATTTCCCTTAGTAGGTACAATTCATAATATAAGGTGTTACCGGTCTAAACCATTGTCAAATTCTGAATACCTGTAACATCATCATACATAATTAATGTAAAGAAAACAATAAATTAAACAGTATTCTTTCATGTTTAGTTTTATTACTCAATATGTATAAATTATTTATTATAAGGTGACAAGAAGAAGACTTGTTCTTCTTTAGAATTATACATGTATCAAGTTGTATTAGATAGATTCAATGGAGATAGACATGAGAAAAATAAACAAAAACAGTTGGATAGAACTAGGAAGGAAAGCCCAGAACAGAGTTGGTTGGAGAATACTGGTCGCTGGCCTATGCTCCATTAGAAGTAACAGCCGTAAATAAGTAAGTTAGATTCAATTATTAAGACATTCTTTTATAATTTAAATTATTTATGATTGAACAGCAAGCCGGGATTAAAGCTAGACAACCATAAAATACTTAGACGTACTGAATGGCTGTTTTGTCCTAGTAGTACACATCTATGATTGCGCACACAGGATTCGAACTAAAGACTTTTGATCTGAGTACGTGAACGCTTAACTTGTAGGTCATTGATCCATGAATTTATGAGTCATGCCTTCTTGTGGCAAGGGTGTTGTTTACGAAATTGAGAGGACGAAAAACGAACGTCCGGAGATTTAACCGGGTTAGTAGACATAGAGGGTTCACCTAGGGGAGTTGGAAAACCCTCATTCCAAACCAATGGTGCACATGGGCTGGCTCCAATATTTTGGGGGAACAAATGGCGTATGAATCAATCGTTGGTCACCGGCTACCGTGGGACTGCATTTCCTCACGATGCTCCACTGCCTTATGGATCAGACCTTTATGCTGAAGACTCAGGGTGTGGCCTCCCGAGAAAACCACCTGCTTCGGTCTTGGCACCCGAGCAGTATCACAGTCCTCAGACAAATCAAATGAGTTTTGTGTGGCGCATGTATATCTGGTGCCCCCCATGTACCAATATTTATGTGTTCAAATAAAATAAAATAGTAAGGAATAAATGACCTCCCAATGCTTTCAAGTTTTCCATGATGGTCTAGCATTATTCGGCTAATGAATTCAGCTATTAAACTCTACATGTATATATCTAAGTTCAACTGATGATCAATGATTATCGATTACTTTTTCTGTAGAAACAAATTAGTGGTTAACATAAACGTCAACATCTAATTCTATACAATACTGTAAAGTGAGTTCACCTTTTGTTAATGAACTAATTATTATTTTTCTCATCAGCGTTTTTTTAGCGAGTTAGTTTTTTTAGGGGATGGGGTCGCTAACCCCATGCCCAACCATCCTCCTTTACCCAGGCTTGGGACCAGCAGTAATTCTAAAAGAGCTACAGGTGGACAGAATTGGATGAAAAATGCTGATGTACGGCCAATGCTCGTCCACGAGGGATAACAGGCGTAGGTAAGTAAGTTATGAAATAAACCTGAAAGTTAAATCATATCTCATAATAAACATGATTCAAGTTATCTTATCATTTGAATATTAACCAGGACATTCGAATTGTAAATAACAATGGAATCGATGGTGTTCGTTTCATCCTATTCGTGACTGATCAGCTGAATATATCTCCAATCTAATGTTCTATACTCATTCATTATTTCAAATATTAACGAGTTTTCCACTAAACGAATGAGTTCAGAAAGTTATCAATTATCAGTATGGCGTTGTGGAGATTGTTTAGTGTTTTGATCAAGATCATGATTCGATCGATGTTAGAGCACCCTTATAAACCTGTAAGCACTGAACAACCGTTTCGTTTTAGTATGGAACTGCTTAGCAGTGTGCATCCACGATCCTGCACACCGGGGTTCGAACCCAGCACTTTCAGTCTAATTCACGAAATAAATCATTTGGATTTCCCCAATAAGGAAAAACAATATCAAATGGAATTCATTTAAGATAGATATTCATCATTATGAACTGATTAATTGTAGTTCTATATATGAACATCAAGTAAATGGAAACTGACAACTTGCACATATATTTTCTTATACCTCACCTCTCTCTTTCTCTCTCTCTCTCTCTATTGAGTAGTTTAGTCTATTGAAATAAATTGTAACGGTAACTAAACAAATGAATGTCCTATTTGATAAGACAAAGTCTCAAGAGTATCATTACATTTCAAATAATAATCTTAAAAAACAAAAAAGTTGTTACTGTAGTGTGGGTTACTTATATCAATACAAGTAGTATATAACGATGGTCGAGCATTGAATGTATTTCAGTAAAAGATCGATAAAGAAAGAACGGGAACGAAACGCAATTGGTATGATTGAAGATTATGGACTGATATTTACAGAAGGAATAGTCAAGAGTGAGACGATCTATTAAGAGTTTGCAAAATAACTGTTTACTTTATGCTTGTCAGATTTTGGTGAGACAGTCTGTAATTTTCGTGTCGTATACATTCGATTGTCCCCATCCGTGTTCTTGTTCACTACAATACCTAGAATCCTATGAGAACTGACGCTTCTGTTCATTCAGCTTCATAATCTAAGAGTTAACCATTAAGTTATGTAGGTCATTGGATTAGTGCCAAGCTGTTTAAACTGAATGATCATTGAGTAGGTAATAGCCAGTAACATGTTTATTAGGTGCTCTTGAGTTGGATCTACTAAGTTATAACGTGACGACTAGTCTAAATGACTCACTATCATCTCCCCTACATACTGATGGTTGATTGTTAGAGGTAGTACACAAGAAACACAACTTCTTGGTGTTTTCATCAATTTACCAAAACGATTTTGTTAACCAATTGTTTATTGTATTTTGTATACAGGTCAACTAAAATGGCCTGTAAAGTTTGTTGGATTGATAGTTTTATGTTATGAATTGGAACCATTTAGACAACTAGTGAAAAATAAGTAACACTGGACTATTGTTTCATTTTAGTATAGGACTTCTCAATAGAACTGATGACAGACATGAGGTCTAAAGGTCTTGGATTAGATTAAATGTAAGGTATCAAACAAACACTACTGAAGGCTTCCATGCTAAGAAAAAACAATTATCCAATGATTTCTGGTTTTCAGCTATCGTCAAACTAAGAAATTTCAGTCCGCTATGTTAAATAACAAAGTTGTTCTACTGCGATAATTAAAAGTATTCGAAATAGTATACGAATTAGGAATCCCTGAAATGATACAACCTAAGTAGACAGAACTAGGTGAACACACACGAACATAATCTGATGTATAATCAACTAACTTCATCCATCACTGGAATAGTTGGAATACAACTGGATTTCACATCAAAATTATGCAGTCGAATATACGTCCGTTGAATTGAACAAGTGGTCATCCAAATTTTGTTTGTCATGAATACAATTTTATACAAGGTTCATCATCAATAAAGAGATTCTATATGAATACAGTTTTTCTCTGTATGATTTCAGAAGAATTCACATCGTGGTTTCAATTCAATATGACAGTAGTGCATTCCACCTAAGAATCGTTAACGTCGACTAATGCATTCAAAGTGAATGTTTGTACAATGATGTCAATCAGGTTGAAATTAGAGGACGATATGTGTCAAATAAAACAATGAGAATCATAGTCACTGTCTACTAATTACAATCATTTTTAAACATAAGGATTTGTCGAACAGCTTCCAGGAAACCAATCAATTCAGTAGTTGTGCAATGGACACCTCGATCGTTGGTGAAACTGTTCCTTCCAAACTGCATTTATTTTGTCACTCTGAAATACGCAGCATCTATACTTAATATAAGAGAAGATTACACTCCTATTCGACTAATACCATTTATGGTAACTATCTGAATCATTTACAAATACAGAACAATTTACACACCATAGTATTTCTGTATTTTTTCAAAGAATACTAGTCACATACAAAATGAGCCTTTTGTATTCAACAATTCTGTGATATTCTAGAAGATGAACCTTCTTAAATGACCATTGATCAGTCCAATAACTATCATAGAGATTGATGAAATAGCCAACCAAGACACTTCCAAGGAGTCTAGATTGTGGGAGAAAAATAAAATATTTTTGGTAAATAATGAATTATCAGAAGGGGTTTTGGGAAGATTTAGTATTTTCATAGTTGCAAGCGTTAGTCAATTGAAGCTAGACCACCATGGAAAACCTGGAATCACTGGACGGTCGTTTCGTCCTATTATGGGACTCCTGATCCTGATTCCAACCCAGGACCTACCAGTCTCGTGCCAGAGCACTTGACCTCTATACGACTGGGCCGGCCGGTATCCAACGGTGTTAATGTCTAAGTTCAACCAATCCATGAAATCTGACCAACCGTTCACCAAAGTCATCAGTGAGTTGATATCTTTACAACAGATGTGTTTGAATTCAAAACAAACATTTGGATTAATTGATGTCACATTAGTTAGATAAACGACTTTGTTGATGGTTAGACTAACAGAGGTTATTGATATTGATCGGAGTAAACTTTTAATTTACAATGGAAACAACTCCTACAACTATTCACTATGTCATATTTGAATGATCAACTAATCTACTGGTAGGTTTATATACCCTCAAAGTGTTCGTAAAACTTATTTCCAAACACAAAATGGTGTAATGAATTGAATAGACATAGTATATGATCAATTAAATAATTTCCGAAGTAATCACTTACTGGCTGAACTTGCTTTTGTGGCTAAAATAGTATAAAAAACAAGGTGATGAATAACGATCCATTTGTATGAAATGTGTATGATTCTCTAGACTGTTAATTTGGAAATGGAAGATACATTCTTAGTCCTATTTGGCAATCGTCTGTTAGATATACATACATACTAGTGTTGGTATTCACATACTAGGATTCGAATGCTACACCTTTCACTTCAAATGCCAATGAGTTGTGTATTCACTGTTCTACTAAGTTCAAACAGTCACTTACTTGTTCCGAATGTATAACGTTGATGTCACTTTTAGAGAAAGTGTGAATTATTCAATTTGTATTATTGAGAATTGAATATCAGTCGATGGATTCACACCTTTACTCATAATGATATGAGTGGAGATTGACTGATTTACTCATAGGTGTTGATTCAATTAAGCTTGAATTTCACACACACATACACACTTACTCAACTAACCATTTCATCAATCAAGATAGATTAAACTGAAATAACTTTTTCACTTCGTAGAGGGGAAATCACATAATCTTAGTTCATGTAATAGTTCAAACTATTTGCTTATGATGTCAGAATACAAATAACACAAGTTCACATTCATAAACAGAACACCAACTATTTCGATTGTCATCAATCGTAAGGAATTAGAACTTACTCGTTTTCATGGCTACAATGAAATAGATTTTTGATTTTCACTTTAACAATCATAAATAATTGTTCAATAATTATGTAATTTATCCTAAACTGTGGTAAATACAGATGTCACGTGAAATGCATCATAAACCTATGAACAGATCGTTTACAAGATCTGCATAACTTGAGAATTGAATATCAGTCGATGGACTCACACCTTTACTCATAATGATATGAGTGGAGATTGACTGATTTACTCATAGGTGTTGATTCAATTAAGCTTGAATTTCACACACACATACACACTTACTCAACTAACCATTTCATCAATCAAGATAGATTAAACTGAAATAACTTTTTCACTTCGTAGAGGGGAAATCACATAATCTTAGTTCATGTAATAGTTCAAACTATTTGCTTATGATGTCAGAATACAAATAACACAAGTTCACATTCATAAACAGAACACCAACTATTTCGATTGTCATCAATCGTAAGGAATTAGAACTTACTCGTTTTCATGGCTACAATGAAATAGATTTTTGATTTTCACTTTAACAATCATAAATAATTGTTCAATAATTATGTAATTTATCCTAAACTGTGGTAAATACAGATGTCACGTGAAATGCATCATAAACCTATGAACAGATCGTTTACAAGATCTGCATAACTTGAGAATTGAATATCAGTCGATGGACTCACACCTTTACTCATAATGATATGAGTGGAGATTGACTGATTTACTCATAGGTGTTGATTCAATTAAGCTTGAATTTCACACACACACACATACACACTTACTCAACTAACCATTTCATCAATCGAGATAGATTAGTCTAAGATAAATTATCCACTTAGTAGAGGGAAAGTCACAGAGTCCTAGTTCATATTTGCTTATGATGTCAGAATATAACTAGTACAAATTCCGATTTGTTTGTTAATTCTTCACTTACATCTCTTCATTAATGACTTCAATATTTATTAACTAAACAAGATACCAACTATTTCGATAGTCATCAATGGTAAGGATTTAAAACTTACTCGTTGGTTTGTCTATAATGTAATAGATGAATGATGAATTTCACTTTAACAATCCTAAATAAATGTTGATTAATTATGTAATTTATCGTAAACTGTGGAAAATACCTATGTCAGATGGAACGCATTATAAACGTATGGACAGATCGTTTATAAGGTCTGCATAGTTCGACGTTATTCCAGAATATGATCAGTTTCAGATGTTTGTTTATCCTGTCAAAGTTTGATGATTAGTAGTCATAGGAACTTTATCTGCATCAATAATCTTCTCGATTTACATTCTAAGATGTGAAGGTTATCAACAGCGGTTATCCTTTACAAAATACATACGCATACATCCTGAATAACTACATCTTCGCTCTGAAGATATTGGCTTACTTAAATATAGTTACTTTATCAATCTACCAGTTATCTATCGACGAGGATGTACTAAGTATATCAAGTTTCACATGAACCTATGGTTTACGTCAACTTTGAAGATAATTTCAGTTTAAAATCATGCCATCATAGCAATCACTTACATAGACAATCACAGTTTTGGTTGGTTATCAAAACACAAGTCTGTTATCAATTCAATTGATAAGTATCTTATTGTGTTGAATAACATTACAACCCATTCTTCTGAAATTCATTAAGATCATGATTTTCTTTTGTCAAAACATCATCTGACCCAATGATAATAAATCAGAATTTCACTGAGTTAGTCCTCTTTTAGTTACATCGATTTCCAGTCATTTGGATATGAACATCGGTAAATATGAATATTTGAATACTGATCTAACAATAACATCTACTTTCAATTCTTAACTTCTACTTTAGAAACGATTCAATTGAAACCAGACAATACATAAGCCCTGAAAGTGATAATCTAATCTATTTTCAATAGATTACAAACAGTATTTCATATACAATAAGTGAAAGATTCTTTATATTAGAACTCATGTGTAGCTGTAATACAGTTGTAAATGAGTTACAATTATCAGTAGATGATGTAATACTGAGCAAATATTATATGATATAGAGATACAATAACCTTCATTCATTGAACAGCTATCGATGTGGAATGATATTTTTGGCGTAAAGTACTGGAATGGTCATACATCTAATTAGTAAATCTGAAAAATGAATGAGGCGAATGACCTGGATTCTACTGTTAAGCACCATTCAATATCCAGGCAATTTATTCAGAATGCACATATGGTGATGCGATTACTTGATATTGAATATATGGATTAAGTCAACTTTTGAATTGTTCATTATCATTAATCACTTCCGATCTAAACTAGATGTACAGTGGGAAATGGAGATAGACTTATTCACTGATGTTCAGTCTTTACTTACTTACTTACTTACGCCTGTTACTTCCAATGGAGCATAGGCCGCCGATCAGCTTTCTCCAACCCACTCTGTCCTGGGCTTCCTTTTCTAGTTCTATCCAGTTCTTGTTCATTCTTCTTATGTCTGTCTCTATTTCTCGGCGTAATGTGTTCTTTGGTCTTCCTCTGCTCCTTTGACCTTCAGGATTCCATGTGAGGGCTTGTCTTGTGACACAATTAGCTGATTTCCTCAAGGTGTGCCCAATCCACTTCCAGCGCTTCTTCCTGATTTCTTCCTCTGCTGGAATCTGGTTTGTTCTCTCCCACAGTAACTTATTGCTGATAGTGTCTGGCCATGTTCAGTCTTTAGGTTCATTATAATCTTATAATGAGGATAAATTGTGTGTGGGGTAAATAACTTTCAATATCTCATATTTGATATCTTCTTATTATGATTTTGTGTTAGATTACAAGAATTCACTTTCATTTCATTAAGTGAATTGTATTAAACGATTAATTCTGTATTATACTATTCTATGTAACTAGTTTTAATCAAGTGATAATAAGGTATAACATAAAACAATGAATTTATGAGATGATGGAGAAGATTTGTACCTCAGGTGGATGATTTTGATGAAGTTTTATTCTCTGAGCTGGATGGTTTGGTCGTGGAGCTTTCATCGTCTACCCAAAGTTTGTGCCGATGATATTGTTTAGAAGGATGATAAAAGCTCCATGACCAAACCATCCAGATCAGAGAACAAAACTCCATCAAAAACAATGAATTTATCAACATTTATGTGTTAAAATGAGAATGTACGGTAAGAAAAGAAATTGATTTTAAGTATTATATATATATGTCATAGTGTGAGTTCTTAGAATTTAGATACACAATTCATTATTTCTGTCAACTACTCATTAGCTAAAACCTATTCCTCTTAGCTTTGTTCAGATAGACAGTAGTGTCAATAAAAAAAAGAAACAAAGTCAAAATTAGATGAATAATAGCTAGTAGTGGAATTAAGTTTGACGCGCGTTTCATCCTAGACTGAACATCAACTCTGAGATGCAAGTACATTCAGCTGACGAGTCCTAAATAGGACGAAATGCTCGTACTCGATTCCACTGCTAGCTACTATCCATTTTTGCTTATAAAGCTTGTGATTTCAGGCAATATCGAAGCAGTCCTCATAGGATGCACATTTACCAATAAAAGACTGACCATTTGCAGTCTTAAACTTAGACAGTAGAGAAATTTGTACTAATGATATTATTTAGAATAACAATGAAAGCTTCTTTGTCAAATTATCCAATTCAAAGAACAAAACTCTATTCAAATTCAAACAAACTTACGTGTTGGTGCATCATCCCCAAAAATTGAACCCCCTGAATATTGAAAGATAGAAAATACATTAGTGAATAAAGAATGTAGGTTACTTTAACCAGGTATATTACTATTATTACTATTACGTAATTACCTGCAACATATTGTACCATTGTTGACAATACAATGGCATTGATAATAGCTAATAGATAATGACGGTAATACATGATGGCGTTTTGTCTTTTCAGTTGTCTCCTGTAGTATCCGTATAGAATGATGTTGACTATTCCCTTTTATTTATATTTTATAATAAATTTTCTATCTGAATAACAACAACGACAACAACATCAGATTGTTTACTTTGTTATATAATTCTTATGTAAATAATAAAAGAAAAATATGAACAATACACAATAGTGAATACATCCCCCCACCTACAAGTTGGTTTCTTTAAAAAACAAAAAAAAGAAAAAAAAGAAACAGACAAAAAAAGAGAAAAAGGAGGGGGGTGTTATTATTTACATCCATCATTATTGTTAGGTTACCTATGTATCTGTCTAATAATTAAACGTTAACTCATTCAATTAACATTAAGATTATTGGGTACCGCTTTATAATTGGAAACCTTCTAGATGTTCAGTTGAATAGGTATTCAATACATCTTCATTAGTTTATTGATTTGAATAGATAAATATTGGTACAAGAAGGGGGAGGGAAGGGGTGACGGTGGGGGGGGGTACCAGTTATATATGCGTCATATATAAACATCTTCATTATAGAAATTGTAATTTGTTTTTCTCTTTATGAAAACTACATATTGACGTCAATATTGTTTTTCGTAATAGAAAAATGTAGACTAGCTGTAATTTAAGTAATTAGTAATATGATAATGTTATTTTCATGTAAATTCTCTATTAAAAGTAATGTTTTCTTTGTTAAATAGTTGGTATTAAATAAGTAATCATGTTGAATTCATGAAGCTAGTGAAGTTAGATCATTATGGAAAATGTGGAAGCACTAGATGACCGTTTTGGTTCTATTGTGGGATTCCTCAACACTGAACATCCAAGATTCTGCTTACTAGTGATTGGCTTCAAGAGTTATTTCCTGGAGTTCTAATGAGAAACAGTGAGTAGTGAAGTTCAACCGAGTCTGTTGTGAGATAGTAACTCAATGAAGACAATGGTGGACGGTTGCTCAATTTCATAGATTAGTTGGAGTTAGAGGTTAAGTACTCGCGCGCTAGACTGATAGGTCCTGGATTGGAATCTCGCGATGTCGGATAGTGGATGCGCACTACTAACGAGTCCAACAATAGGAAGAGACGGTCGTCCAGTGCTTTCATGTTTTTCATGGTGTCTAGCTTCATTTGACTCATGAGTTCAATTATCAAATTACTAAAATTTTCACAAAACCTCTTCTGATAAATAATCATGTATCGAGAAGTACATCCTTAATGAGCATTTTATGAATAAAGAAATTTTTAAAACGAAATCTATAAAAAAATACTCATCTAGTAATCATGTTGAATTCATGAAGCGAGTGAAGTTAGATCATTATGGGAAATGTGGAAGCACTAGATAGCTGTTTTGGTTCCATTGTGGGATTCTTCAACAGTGAACATCCAATATTCCGATCACTAGTGATTGCCTTCAAGAGGTATTTCTTGGAGTTCGAATGAGAAGCATTGACCAGTGAAGTTCAACCGAGTCTGTTGTGAGATAGTAGCTCACTCAAGATAATGGTGGATGGTTGCTCAATTCAGGGTTGCGCATCCAGAAATCGACCCCAGGACATTCGCCTCCGCGCGTAAATTTTTAACCCTTAGGCCGTTAAGCCACTATCCAACGTCTAACCACTGCTTCCAGGACTTCAGTGGTGGTTTAAGAATGATCATTTCGTCATTTGAACTATGAAAGCTATAATTTCCACATCTCCCTCTCCCCCTCTCTCTCTCCCTTTATATATGTATATCTGGTGTATGTTACTTATGTTGGCAGATATAAGTAGTATGTAACACCAATCAAACGTGGAATGCCTGTCACAAGAGGATTGAGAAGATTGAACTAAAGAAAAAGGAAAGGAGAACAGAAAGAAATTGGAATGAAAAAAGAACTGGACGAATAATGAAGTATGTAGTGGACAATTGACTAAAGATATGCAAACGAAGTACTTAATGTATAGTTTTCATAATTGATGAACATATTCTGTAGTTTTACACTAATTAGTAAATTGGTTATCCTCACCTGAGTGTACGTTCACTACATATGTGTCTTATCAACTAAATCCATATTTGTGTTATATGGATATGCTCAATGGATTTAAAGCCAACTTGATCGTAATTAAAACAGTTGTCTTCGCAAAATACTCAACATTCACTGGCCGGATACTATCAGCAACAGCATTTTATGGGAGAGGACAAACCAGCTTCCAGCTGAACAGGAAATTAGGAAAAGACATTGGAAGTGGATCGGACATACATTAAGGAAATCACCAATGTGCATCACGACTCAATCCCTAACTTGGAATCCGGAAGGGAAGCGGAAAGAAGGAAAGCCAAAGAACTCACTACGCCGGGAATAATAAATCTTTGAGATTAATTCTCACCCATACATTCCTCTGTTTATCTTTTGTTCAGGAATTCAAAAATAAGATTTAAGATTAGAAAGCGGTTAACACTGTTTAACAGTCCACCTACAAAACTGTTATAACTTATGCCTTATCTAATATATAACGTAATGATACCGCCAATTATCGACCGGATCAATGACGCATAAACCTGTAGGAGTAGTCTATAGTTTCTATCGGTCCTGCTACCTGCCTAGCCCTGCCTGTTGATTCCAGAACACAAATCTCAGACTCCGCGATATGAATCATATATATACAAACCAAACAGACCACACACATCATACAAGATCTAGTCGAAAGTGACTGTGAATGTGGGAGACTGTAATTAATAAACTCGTCGTAACTCAAGAACAGTAAATAGTATCATATTAGTCTATAAGTCAAAATAAAGCTTATAATAAGAGGAACATGAATATGCATAGTTTAGTTACTTAACAATTATACAATAAGAATATTTGTATAGTACTGGTCCATTAATAGATCACCGGGTAAGTAATAGTGAGGTTAAACACAGGGTATTAGGGAATGATGGTAAATCAGTTGATCAGGTTGTAAATCTTCATCTACTGAGTTGGTTGGGTCATGTTTTACTTATGTATGAACGCTGATTACCTCGACGTACAATACTGACTAGTATAGGGGATGGTTGGAAGAAAGTTATGGACGGCCAAACCAAAACGTGACATCACTCATTGAAGTCACAAACTTCTGGTCTTAGCTATGTTGGTAGATGCAGACTTCTTGGTCGTGGCCCGCTCAACTATCTCAACCAATGGTTGGAAACTCTGAGTGACATGGCTCAGAATCGATCACAATGGCGCAGATGTATACACTCTTTATCTTCCATCAAACCGTGAGATTTAAATTGTTGTACCAATGAGGCGTGGCAACTTGAACAGCTGTCTATATGTGCCTGGTCCTATGTTGTAGCTGACTGACCAACAGACTATAAATAGATGCCAACAGTTACCATTCATTATTCTCTTCGGATTATAACTAAAACAGATCGAAAATGTAATTCATACATCTAAAAAATGATTTTCTGATGAATTTTTAAGTGAAGGGACTTTGTGGAGATTTTATTAATTTTATATAGTTGAGATCATGAGTCAAGTGAAGCTAGACCACCATGGATAACCTGGAAGCACTGAACGGCCGTTTCTTCCTATCGTGGGACTCCTCAACACTACGCATCCACGATCCCACCTCGCAAGGTTCGAACCCATGATCTAACAGTCTCGCGTGCGAGCGCTTAACCAATAGACCACTGAGCCGGTCGGCATACAACAGTGTCAATGTCTAACTTCAATCAATCCACAAAATTGAGCGACAAATCCACCAATGTTTTCAGTGAGTTACTATATCACAACAGATTTGGTTGAACTCCACTGGTCACTACTTCTCATTCGAACTCCAAGAAATACCTCTTGAAGTCAGTCACTAATGAGGATACCATGATTATTGTCAGAAGAGGGTTTCATGGAGCTTTTAGTAATTTTTATAATTGAATTCATGAATCAATTAAACCTAGACCACCATGGATCGTGGATGTTCACTGTTGAAAAGTCCCACAATAGAACGAAACGATCGTACTCTACTTTGAGGTTCTCCATGATGGTTTAGCTTTAATTAACTGATGAATTCAACTATTTAATTTTTTTTTAGAAGGGGATTTGTGGAGATTTCAGTATTTTTCAAAGTTGAAATCATGAGTCAATTGAAGCTAGACCACCATCGAAAACCTGGAAGCACTGAATGGCCGTTTCTTCCTATCGTGGGACTCCTCAGCAGTGCGCATCCACGAACCCACTCTCGTGGGATTCGAATCCAGGACCTACCAGTTTCGAGCCGAAGCCCTTAACCGATAGACCACTGAGCTGGCATCCAACAGTGTTAATGTCTAACTTCAACTGATCCACGAAGTTGAGCAACCATTCACCAATTGTCTTCAGTGAGTTGATATCTCACAACAGACGTGGTTGAACTCCACTGGTCACTGCTTCCCACTAGAACTCCAGGACATGTATCTTGAAGTCAGTCACTAATGAGGATACCATGATTATTGTCAGAAGAGGGTTTCATAGAGCTTCTTGTAACTTTTTAATTGAATTCATGAATCAATTAAACCTAGACCACCATGGATCGTGGATGTTCACTGTTGAAAAGTCCCACAATAGAAAGAAACGATCGTACTCTACTTTAAGGTTCTTCATGATGGTTTAGCTTTAATTAACTGATGAATTCAACTATTTAATTTTGTAATTGTTGATTTTGTAACAAACAAATACACACACAAAAAAAAATAAAAAAATAAAGTCAACCTTCATAAAATGAATCAATCAATTCAACTAATTACATCATGTTTACTTAATAAAATGTAACTTTTACTCATATTATTAATGATAATTTGTAATTAAAACATTCAATTAAAGTAGAAAACAAAGAAAAACAAACACACAACGAGAAACAAACAAACATACAAAGAGAAACCAACAAACACACACAAATACACACAAACGCACAAAGAGAAACAAATAAACAAATAAACAAACAAACAAAAAAGTTTTATTTTGACATAAATAAACAAAAAACAATGATAAATTATAGTAAGCAGAGATGGATAGTGGCTAGCAGTGGAATCCAGGACGCGAGTTTCATCCTATTTGGCGTATGAAGCGAGGGTACTGAGTTCGAGTCCCAGAGTGAATGAACATCAACTCTGAGATGTGGCAGGTACATCCAGCTGACGAGTCCCAAATAGGACGAAACGCGCGTCCTGGATTCC